AATTTGGGAGAAAAGATGGAGAAAGAGTAATTACAAAGACCCTAATAGATAATAAGATGTTTATTAATGTTGATCACAAAACAAATACTCCACTATATAACAATAATGTGTGTCAGAGAGACTGCAAAGATGAATATTATCACATCTAAAACACTATCCTGAGAATATGCAATTTTATTTTTAAAGATACAATACTCTCAAGTTGGAAGGCCAGTAAGGAAACAGCCCAGTCTGCTGATAATTACCTGGATGGCCAAGGGTGACTCCTAAATCGTGATAAAAGATCCTGCTCTTCTTACTCACTATGGGCACAGGAAGTCACCAGGTCTTCAGTCCTCTCCAGTGTCTACACCACATTTCACACACGTCCCCTGCTACATACCCCTACATAAGAGGCTCTGTGTCCCAGAGGAGTCCAGGAGCTGCAGCAACTCATTAAAGGCAATCATTATCCAGAACCTCTAAATGACCAGTTCTCTCAGAGTCCTACTGAAGTGACTGATAATAGCTAGTGATCACATGTGACTACTTTTTAGAGGGTGGTAGAGAGGGAAGGAAACTCAAGGAGAGTTTGAATAGTTGCTAAAAGTAACCAGAAAGTACATGTTCAAGGACATAACATAATATTTCTTAGAACATACTTTTTGTAAGTGGCTGTTAAAGACACACCGTTTCCTTTTCTTTAAAAAACAACTAATCAATTATTATTTTTTTACACCCCAGATAGTTTCCAATCCCTTGTCTATGCCCAGTCCCTCCCTTTGCTCTGTAATCCACTTCTCCATTTCTATTCAGAAAAGGGCAGGCCTCCCATGGATTAAAAAAAAAAACCATGCTCTATCAAGTTGCATTAAGACTATAAACCTCCCTTTGTATCAAGGCTGGGCAAGGCAACCCAGTTTGAGGAATAGGGTCCCAAAAGCCAGTAAAAGAGTTAGAGACAGCCCCTGCTCATATTTTTAGGAGTCCCACAAGACCAAGCTATACAACTGTCACATATATGCAGAGGAGACAAGATTTTCAAAGGTTACAGTTTGGCATTCTGTTGATACATTGGAAGCTTTTATAAATATGTAAAAATGCAGAAAAGACATAATTTTCAAAGGTTGCAATTTGGCACTCTGTGGATTCATTGTAACCACCTGTAAACAAGCCCTTTGAGGAATGAGTGTGTTACTGGTATAGATCAGATTTCTATGACCCCACTTTCTATACCCGCTAATATATGTTAAGGATAGGAATGTGTGAAAATTACACAACCCCACACCATGTTTAATTGCTAAGAAAAAAAATAAAAAAACAATCCCAATTTTAAGGGAACTTTGAACCCCTAACCTAAAAAAAAACCTTTTTTATATATAATTTAATTAAATTTTACATATCAGCCACGGATTCCCCTGTCCTTCCTCCTCCTGCACCCCCCATCCTCGCCCCAGACCACCCCCATTCCCATCACCTCCAGGGCAAGGACTCCCCTGGGAATTCAGCTCAGCATGGTAGATTCAGTCCAGGCAGGTCCAGTCCCCTCCTCTCTTCACCCAGGCTGAGCAAAGTGTCCCTGCATAGGCCCCGGTTCCAAACAGCCAGCTCATGCACTAAGGATAGGTCCTGGTTCCACTTCCTGGTGGCCTCCCAAACATTTCAAGCTAATCAACTGTCTCACTTATCCAGAGGGCCTGATCCAGTTGTTGGCTCCTCAGCTATTGGTTCACAGTTCATGTGTTTCCACTAGTTTGGCTATTTGTCCCTGTGCTTTTTCCAGTCATGTTCTCAACAATTCTCGCTCATACAATCCCTCCTTTTTCTTGCTGATTGGACTCCTGGAGCTCCACCTGGGGCCTGCCCATGGATCTCTGTATTTGCTTCCATCAGTCATTGGATGAGAGTTCTAGCATGACAGTTAGGGTGTTTGGCAATCTGATCACCAGAGTAGGTCAGTTAAGGCTATCTCTCTACCTTTGCCAGCAGTCTATTGTGGAGGTATCTTTGTGTATTTCTGGGGACCTCTCTAGCACTTTGATTCCTCCTATTCCTATGGGGTCTTCATTTAGGGATCGCACAACAACAGAGAAATGGATGAGATCTACATGAGCAAACTGGACATGAGGTGGGTAATGAAGGGCAAGGATCAAGGGAAAGAGAGCTTAGGGGAGCAGGAGATCCCAGCTGGATCAAGAACAGAGAGAGAGTGTGGTGGTATTGTGTTCCCCAAAATATTGTGCACCCTAATAAACTTATCTGGGGTTAGGGAACAGAACAGCCACTAGATACAGAGGCTAGAAGATGGTGGTACTCACATCTTTAATCCTAGCATTCCAGAGGCATAAATCCATTTGGATCTCTGTGAGTTCAAGGCCACCTTGGAAATAGCCAGGCATGGAGACACATGACTTTAATCCCAGAAAGTGAATCTTTAATCCCAGGAAGTGATGACAGAAAGCAGAAAGGTATATAAGGCATGAGGACCAGAAACTAAAAGCATTTGACTGGTTAAACTTTTAGGCTTTTGAGCAGCAGTTCAGCTGAGATACATTTGGATGAGGACTCAGAGGCTTCCAGTCTGAGGAAACAAAATCAGCTGAGGAATTGGTGAGGTGATGAATCTGTGGCTTGTTCTGCTTCTCTGATCATCCAGCATTCACCCCAATAACTGTCCTCAGGTTTTATTTTATTAATAAGACTCTTAGAGATTTCTGGTACAAGGGAGAACAAGGAAAAAGAAAAAATCTTAATGTCACCCATCACCACCATCTTCTGAGCTACTCTCTCTATTTGTTATATTCCAGCCTAATAACAAAGTCCATGTCTCTGTTATTTTGAAGCAATAGCTTAGATCCATGATTCTGTTTTTGACTAATCCTTTATTGTATATAGCAAACATCAGTTGGATGAAATTAATAATGCTGTATTATATAACACAAGTTTTCCTTGTTCTCCCACTCTGTTCCTGATCCAGCTGGGACCTCCCGCTCCCCTAAGTTCTCTTTCCCCTGACCTTTGCCCTCCATTACCCCTCCCACCCCCAGTTTGCTCATGTAGATCTCATCCATTTCTCTGTTGTTGGGAGATCCTGTGTCTTTCTTAGTGTCCTCTTTACTAGGTAGCCTCTCTGGAGTTGTAAGTTGCAGTCTGGTTATCCTTTGCTTTATATCTAGTATCCACTTATGAGTGAGAACATACCATGTTTGTCTTTCTGAGTCTGGGTTACCTCACTCAGCATGATCTTTTCTAGTTCCATCTATTTGCCTGCAAACCTCATGATGTCATTGTTTTTCTCTGCTGAGTAGTACTCCATCATGTATATTCCACATTTTATTTATCCATTCTTCAGTTTTCATTTTTGGGAAACTGCATCTCCATTATTCTTATATTATTTGGGTCAACATAGGTCATATTAACATTTACTTTGTGACATGAAAATATTACTATTTCTTAGAGAATGTCCCAGGAAAAGACACAGTTTACTTGTTTTACTTTTGAATAGCAACCATGTTTTCCCTTGGTCATAAGCATCAACCACCCCAGGCACAATGGCATCTTTATTCCATCTGTCTAGACCCTTTGGGGGGATTGAATGACCCTTTCACAGGTGTAAACTAAGACCATTGGAAAACACAGATACATACATCAGGATTCATAATAGTAGCAAAAATACAGTTCTAAAGTAGTGATGAAAATATTTTCATGGTTGGGTTCACCACAGCATGAGGAACTGTATTAAAGTGTGGCAGCATTAGGAAGGTTGAGAATCACTTCTCTATTCTCTGTATACTGGTAGTTAAGAACCCAAAGTGACTGGAACTTGCTTAACTTCCAATTTAGTATAACTTTGTGTTATTCCATGATGGAACTATAGAAGTATAAGAACTGAGACTATACTATTATTTATAGTAATAATTATGCTAAACTATAATTATGGTATCTGAGAATATATAATTGAGAACTCTACTATTCACTACTATGAAGTCTATTGTTACACAGTTTTGTGCATTCATTTATTCAGTTAACACACAATTATTTTCTTCAAACAAACTTCTGTGCCATGCGTTGCTACTGTCCATTTTCCCCAGCCTAATCTCATGCACCCAGAGGAGTCCCATTCTACTTTATGCATTTTTCTATCATTAACATTTCATACGAGTGGAACCATATAACATACAAACTCCACCCTCTTTTATTACTATGTTTTCCAAGGTACATGCATATAGGAATACACATCAATATTTCAGTTAATTTTTGTCACTGATTATTATGTCCTTTTATTGTATGAAACATTTTCCCTAGTCATCAGTTAATGGCTCTTTCTACCTTATGAAAGTAATAAATACTGTTGCTATAGACGGTCATGTTCAACTGCTTGTTTGACTATCATAGTAATTGTAGGTAGACAATTAGTAGAATTTTTGTCTCTGGTGGTAGCAATCATATGTTGAACTTTCTAAAAATTGTTTTCATTTATCTTTGAGAATTTCACACACAGTATTGTTATTACATACAATGTATTTTATATAATTTCACACAATATATTTTAATTTCCCCTTACCTCAATTCCTTAAAGATCATGTATTACCTCTATATTCTCCAAATTTCATGTTCTTTTTCTCTCTTAAAACAAAAAACAAAAACAAAAGAATAACTAATTACTAAGGACATCCCACAAAAAACGTAGAGTCTGATTCATGTTGGCAAACCACTCCTAAACATGGGTCCTACCCTGGAGTGTGGTTGATTCACCCAGTAACACTCCAGTGAAGCAAACTGAGTTTCCCTCTCCTGACAGCTTTCAATTGCAAATAGCTTCTTGCCTAAATCTGGCCTGACTTGTGCTGGTCTTGTGTGTGCTGCCACAGTATTCACATGTGCATCTGTCCTATTGGGTCTAGATAAGCTGCTTCCTAGGAGTCGTCTACTGCTTTTGGCTCTTAAATTCTTTTTTGGAACAACCCCTGAACCTTGAGGGGAAGGGTGGGATATAGACATCCCATTTCGGGCTGAACACTCCAATGCCTCTCATTCTCTTCACATTGTCTAGTTGTGTGTCTTTGTGCTAATTTCTTTCTCCTGCAAGAAGAAGCTTCCTTGATGAGGTTTGAATGATGCACTGTTCTATGTGTATAGGAATCCATCATTAAGAGTCATTTTTGTTGCTGTTCAGTTTGCCAAATAATAGGAGTGGGTTTCCCCTCAGGTCTATGGCATCCAGTTTTGGTTTCTTCATCTAATACACACTGTTGAGTATAGGTCCAATCTCATGGAGCAGGTCTCACATCTAATAAAAAGTGGTTGGATACTCCTATAATATTCATGGCATGATTGAGCATGATTGCATTAGTGGGCATTTCTTGTGGACAGATAGTTATTGTAGGTCACATAATTCATAGCTGGGTGAAACTTATGTCTATTTTTCTCACCTATTTCTTCCACAATCGGGTTTTAATGTCAAGTTGGGAAGGGTGATCCATGGCATTGGCAATAGCCTGTAACGTTTGGGGTGTGTGTCTATGGGAGTCCATTTGGTCAATGACTCAAAACACATAATTCACTTATTGGTACTAAGCCCAGGAAAAGATTTTCTGAATAGGACTGCATTTTCTCAGGAATTAATGCTAACAGCTGACCCTCAGCCTAATGAAACTAGATTGCTTCTGTACATGAAGGAAACCATCATTTGTGAAGAGGAAGGACACAGTGGGAGAAAATTCGTATCTAAAATACTCAAAGAACCTAAAAAGCAGAGCATCTAGGAAACAAATGATCCAATCAAAATTGGCCTCAGATCTGAACAGAGAGTTCTTTTTAAAAAATACTTTCGTTTATTCTTCTCTCATATAATATATCCCAAGTGAACCCTTCTCTCCTCCAGTTGCCCCCATTCCACACATCCTCTGCTCCCCCATTTACCCTCAGCAAATAGATCTATATTCATCACTGAGCACAAAACTCAAAACCAAGTGAATCAAAGACCTCAACATTAAACTATACACTGCATCTTATAGAGGAGAAAATGGTGGTGGGGTAAGCCTTGAATGTATTGGCACAAGAGACATTCCTGAAGAGACTTCCTGAATAGAACACCACTAGCACAGACACTAAGATCAACAATTAATAATGGGACGTCATGAAACTGAAAAGCTTCTCTGTAAGGCAAAGGACACTGTCAATTGGACATAACTGCAGCCTACAGAACGGGAAATCTTTTCACAAACTCCACACCTGATAGTGGATGCATATCCAAAATTTATAAAGAATGCAAGAATCTAGACACCAACAAACTAAACAATCCAATTAAAAATGCAGTACAGATCTTAACAGAGAATTCTCAATAGAGGAATCTCAAATGGCTGAGAAACACTTCAATATTCATCATCCTTAGCCATCATGGGAATTCAAATCAAAACTACTTTAAGGTTCCATCTTATATCTGTCAGAATGACTAAGATCAATGGCAGAAGTGACAGCTCATGCTGGTGAGGATGTGGGCCAAGAGGAACACTTCTCTATTGATGGAGGGAGTGAAAGCTTGTACAGCCACTGTGGGCATCAGTATTCCAGTTCCTCATAAAATTGGGAATCCATCTACCTCAAGACCCAGCTATACCACTCTTAGGCGTATACTTAAAAGATACTCCATCTTATCACAAGGACACTTGCTTATCTATGTTCATAATGACTTTATTCACAATGGCCAGAAACTAGAAACAACATAGACATCTCTCAGTTGAAGAATTGGTAAAAATTTTGGTATATTTACATAATGGAGCATTCCTCAGCTATTGAATTGATCACCTTTAACCAGCATCAGCTCCCTTTGCTGGAACTGGGCCACCAATCCATCCATAAAACCTTTGACCCAGGCCAGTCCTGGCTGGAAGATGTGCTGGGGTGGCTCAGAGCTTGTGTGAGTGGTCAAACAATGACTAGTCTAACTTTAGGTCCAAGCCAAAAGAGGGAGTACAGGACCTGTAAGAGTGGCCAGGAACTGGAAGTTGGATGGCTCAAAGATCTAAGATAGAACCAAAGTTGACCTACCAAAAAAGTCAGTGAAATTATTCCTAATGATACTCTGCTTTACTAATAGACTGGTGCCTATCTCAATAGTCATCAGAGAAGCTCCCTCTGGCAGCTGATGGGAACCAATGCAAAGACCCACACCCAAACATTAGGTGGAGCTTGGGGAACCTTGCAGATGATGGGGAGGAAGGATTGTAAGAGAGAGAGGAGTCAAAGACATCAGAAGAACATGGCCCACAAGGTCAACTAACAGGGCTCATAGGGTCTCACAGAGACTGAAGCAGCAGTCAAGGAGCCTGCATATGTCTGTGCTAGGGCCTCTGCATACATGCTGTGGTTGTTTATCTTGGGGTTTTTGTGGGAATCCTAACAGTAGGGGTTGGTGTGTCTCTGTCTCTTCTGCTTGCTCTTGGGAACCTTTTTCTCTTACTGAGTGCCTCATCTAGTCTGGGTATGAGGGTTAGTGCCTCGTCTTAATGTATCTTGTAATGCTGTGTTCAGTTGACATCCCTGGGAAGCCTGCTCTTTTCTGAAAGGAAATGGAGGAGGGGTGGTATTGGAGAAATTATTTTGGCCACTCCACATAGTTAAAAGGATATTTATTTAATGGCGTAACTCACAAATTAAGTGAAAGGTAGGTCTCAGGGTCTGGGGAAGGTGTATTGCAATCCAGCGGTGTTCTCCAGAGCTCTGCACAGTCTACCTTCACCGTTCAGCATCCTGGCACAGAGAGAGCGCACAGAGAGAGCGCTGGCCCATCCAGCTCTCGGGTCTCCAGGCGCCTCCCCTCGCCCTGCCTCGTAGGCGTGGCAGTTGCCAGAGTCTCAATG